AAGTTTCAATTGTGTCTCTAATTTTTTAATATTTATGAATTGATCCAAATTAGATCTTCAAACTTGATTTTTCTTTAACCGAGTCCTCAATTGAATCCATAAAACCTACTAAAAGTTAAATTAATTGCTTGAACTTAATTAATTCTTATAATTTTGATCAAATTAACTTCAAACTTATTGTTTTTAATTAAATCTTTAATTAAGCCAATTAAACCCATTAAAAATTTGATTAAGTCGTTAAAAGTTAAATAATTCTTTTAATTTTAGTCAATTTAGATTTTAACCTTAACTTTCTCTGTGTTACGTCTTTATTCAGTTCATCATGTTAAAATATCTTAATCCGGTTATTTTGATTTATTGCTACAAGATAGCGTACCTTATTATGTCTTAAAAATATTTTTTGATATTTTTATTCTTCAATGGAAAATAAAATATATTTATTTATCTCTCATATCTCGAATTATATATATATATATATATATATTCATCAAGCCACGTGGCAATGACATATTATAACCACCTCTTAAGCTTTCGACTCGTGGCAGAATTCATCGAGGCCAACTTGAGACGATTACACATATGCTGCCTGGATAAAACACATCCTCTCGGCATATGACATTTTACCGAACATGTTAGGGATGTTACCTAGCTACCCATGCATGCTGCAGCCAGGACTCATGATAGAGGAACAAAATGTTTCCTCTTTCACACGATGTGTTAAATCATGAGTTCTGTAACCTTTTGTTGTAGTCAAAGAGTTTTATGTGTGTGTGTGTGTGAATCAGCAGACATTGTGGTGGTGGCTCTGCTGATTGAAGGGTCGTGAGCTTGGTGGTATGGGTTCCATTTGAGCCACCGGAAAGCATATGATCACAAATGTGAAGTTCCCACAAACAACTTTCATGTTCTTCCAAAATCTGAAAAGTAGATTATATGATCTGGCTGAAAAACACAGGAAGAGAAAATCGACGAACTCATCATGGGACAGATTGGGCTTCGGTTTTGGGCCATGAGGCCATCCAAATTGGGCATGTCCCCATTTAAGTAGGGCATACCCTGAAGCATGTAGTGATGGCTAGTAGAGGTGTTCATTTTCGGTTCGGTTTGGTTTTTATAAAAAAAAATAATCAAATTGGAATTTTTTTTTTGAAAAAAAACCCGAAACTGGGTCAAACCGACTGGTTTTGGTTTGGTTCGGTTTTTTAAGGGAAAAATTGGCTCAAATCGGTTTGGCTTGGTTTTTCCGGTTTGGCTCAGTTTTTCTGGTTTGGCTCGGTTTTTTTCTGTTTTGGCTCAGTTTTTCTGGTTTGGCTCAGTTTTTTTTCTTTTTGTCTCATTTTGGCTCGGTTTGTTCGACTCGGTTTAATCAGTTTTTTTTTCGGTTCGGTTTTTTTGATTTTTTGTTCTTATTTTTTCAGTTTAATTGGTTTTTCAGTTTCTTTAAATACCCCTAATAGCTAGGTTATGATGGTGGCAAACATTAATGGACATATATATATATAAACCAATGCACAATATATATATATATATATATAAAACAATGCACACTTGCTCCATGTGTCATATACTAACCATGTACTTGAATAATATATTTTTTTATGTTTTTTCATGCGGTCCTTGTAATTTATTTGTTCTTGCTCATTCTATTTTTTTTTAAAAAAATTAATATGATCTTGCATCAAATAAACTGTTAATTCTTGACAATTGACACACCTGTGTCCACTATTATTTATATGTTGTTAAGAATTAATATTAAAATGGAAGGTTGCACTTCTTAATATTGAAAAAGGGGATGTACTAATTAATTAAGAGAGGTTACATTAAAAAAATTTATCAAGAGTGTGGGAGGATAAAATATACATTAAACTACATAATTATTCATTAGTGCGAACTTTACCATTTTAAATTCAATACATCATTATATACTTATATTTTCTCACAGGAAATCAGTCCCGGGAATGCAAGAAGTAAGTACTAGTTTTTCTAATATATAGTGGATGCTGAACTCATTTATGTATGCAAGATAATTAGTAAGAAGAAAAAACAAACAATTACAAGCTAATTAGTATATATTTTATCCAACCAATTAATTTCATGATTAATAATATAGAAAGTACATTACCTTGGTTGCACGACATGTGTCTGCTTTGCCTATATTTTCCAGTCACTCACGAACAGACAAAGATTTAAAATTTTCTAACTATGCCTAGGATGTGTGTTCGAAAGTACTCTTATTTTTTGGTGATTTTTAATAGTATTTTTTATTTTAAAAAATATTAAATTGATATTTTTTAAAATGATTTTGATGTACTAATGTATAAAAATAAAAAAATTATTTTAATATATTTTTAAATAAAAAAATTATTTTTGAAAAATACCCACATTATAATCCCAAACATACAATGCATGGAACATACCCATCCAATATTTATCATATCGTAAGAGGAATGGCTCCACAGAAGATATCCAGCATCAACTCATGCCCAGAAAAAGCTTAACAGATAATGGTAAGATTATTTGATGGGCAATGCATGTGATGACGTTTTGTGGATCCCATTTTTTGGCCAACTTTTACACATAGCATCTTAGTGGGCATCAACCCTCTCATCGCCTCATATAGTCTCAACATTTTTTATCACAATAGAAAGATTATACAAGATGTGACACTCTCATGCTCGCCACCATTCGCAAAGAGCCTATTGGAACAAGGAGAGTGTATTATAGCATGGTACCATAGGATTTATTGACGAACCCTTCAGTAGCTCCATAATTAAGTAAGAAGGCAATTTTATTGGAGGAAGGTAACTAAGTATATGCATAATAAGGTCTTTATAGTGCATTTATTAGCCAGGATGTAATCTATGAGCCTATTGGAACAAGGAGAGTGTATTACAGCATGGTACCATAGGATTTATTGACGGACCCTTCAGTGGCTCCATAATTTAGTAAGAAGGCAATTTTATTGGACGAAGGTAACTAAGTAAATGCACAATAAGGTCTTTATAGTGCATTTATTAGCCAGGATGTAATCTATATTAATAATTCAGAATTATACGGATTTTTAAGTTATACTGAACTTTATTTCATATGATTGGGTGGAAAGTGTTGTCAGAAGGCATATTGAGATCGAAACATGAGCATCATTCCCACTAGTACTTGCCATGCACTTGTGTTGGGTTGCTTCCATGGCTAAATATTAATCCTCTGAAACCTATTTAATGCCAGTCTCACGTCTCTACAATTAGTTTTGTGACTGAGGTTGAGGATGATGTCCATTGATGAGGTCCTCGTAAGGTCTTTCCTAGGCTGTTAGGCATGGAAGATTGAGCTTGCGTAACTGGGAAAACTGTAAAATAGGAAACACCCGATACCTGAGTTAACATTAATAGTGAAGAAAGAAGTTTCAAAGAGACCATGTCATGTGTGCTTGCAAAACAAAACTGAGAAAGGAAGAAGATGAAGCTTTCTTGTAAAAAAGCTGATTAGTAACCTTAAGGTTCAGGAATATCCATTGCAGTAGATGCAAGCTCTGTTCATGCAATCCTCATGACTCATTATGGATCTGAGCCCATGTCAATACATGCCTTAGTTAGACTACTAGGACATGGGCAATGTGATGGGGGTGTAAATTCTGAGCCCATCATCCATGTAACAAGGCCTCAAAATAGTTGGGATTTAAAGTAAGGTGTGGAAAATAAAATTGAGATGAATTCTAGGCAAGGAAGAGCCACCAGGCAATAGTATGGTACAGTTCTAGGCTTTCAGCATGGTTGCTGCTCCACAGTGTTTTTATTCTTTTATTTTTGCACAATGTTTTGTTTTTATTCTTACAAGGTGATATGGTTTTGGAATTTGTGTTTAGTTTGAAGGTTCAAAAGTGTTCATTGCAATACCGTTGGTTCAGACAAGCACGTTCTGATGCCCGGATCCTTTATGCAGCCATTGTTAACACTGAATTCTCGATAATTTACTCCCTGCATCTCAATCGTGTGGGTGGGAACAGCATATAATGGGAGTACAATGGTTCAAAGCTCATACAAGGGGCTCTGAGTTAAGACAATAGACACGTCCATTTTTACATTAACCCATCTCCCACATGTTTCTGGGCTGGACCTGTCCATGTTAGAGAAACAGCTAAGCTTGGACAATTAGCAAGGGGACCATAGCATTACCATTTACCATACCAAGAGGATAGTGATCGTGAACTAAATTCCCGCAATCCAACTGAATGTAGACATGGATTATTACAAGTATACCTGAAGCATGGGATGGTCAGCCAAGTGTGGATAAAACTGGATGGATTGATTGATTTGTCTTTACTCCCAGCCAAAATGCACTCAACGATACATAACAATCCCTGCAAGTGATTTTCAGCCCTCAATTTGTTCTGTTGCCAGGCTTGGATTTTCATGCTAGAAAATGGACAATAACACTAACTTATCGTACTCTTGTCATCTTAATTTCTAATTTAGCATGGATATACATGGGCTGACCACAACAACAATGATATATTATATCTGATATCTCATTGTCTTCTTTTTAACCTTTAAATGGACATAAATTCTAATGGATACTCACTCACTTGGGACTTTGTTACAGAGGAAGAAAGTTGTATTTATCTGCTGTTTTTTCTTTGAGTTCCAAGGCCAGCCCTTAAGAAAATAAGAGCATTTGTTTCTCATAAATCTGTGTATACGTGCAGTCACAGTGAAAAAGCAAAACACCGCATTAGTCACAAAAGAGACATCGATGCCTGAAATAGCCGGTCTCCTGCTTCAAGCCCTAAAGCAAGGCTTTTTAGGTTATGTTTCTGTTAGCTGCCAAGAAAAGCCATAAACTTCTCCCAAGGAACAAAACAAAACACACATACACACACTTAACAGATAAAAGTTCGAAAGGACCTCTCGTTTCTGCAAACAATGCATCAATCCAACCCCTATAGGTCCCATTCCTATATTCCCTCTCTTGGGACTCGGGAAAATTAAACAAAAAGTCCGCGTCCTTGACATTAAATTAAATATCTTTCCTTTACACCAGAGAGACAAAGAAAAGGAGAAGAAGAGTGAGTCTTTATGGTAAGCCAAGAAAATGAAGGATAAGAAAAAAGGCAAAGTGCACCCACCTCCACCACCATCATCCAAATCTCCAGATAAAGATCCCGACACAGTGTTAAAGCTACTGCCAGTGACTATTCTAGCTTTAGCCCTCTCTCTTCCTAACCAAGATCGTGAGGTTTTGGCTTACTTGATAGCAAGGTCCATTTTTATCACCACCACAACAAACCCATCTTCACTTGTCACCCAACATCCTAAAAACAAATGCCAAACCAAGACCGCCCCTACCACTGCCAACAAGAATGACAAATATTGCGGCCAGGAGGTTCCTCCTTTTCAATGTGGGTGTTTTGATTGCTACACTAGGTTTTGGTATAGATGGGACTCATCTCCAAACAGAGATTTTATCCACCAAGTTATTGAAGCATTTGATGAGCATTTGGTGCAGAATATTGAGTGTCCAAAGAAACACAAGAGACGCAAGAAGAAAGGTAAGGTCTTGATGATGGGCCATTTTGAATCTGATAATATACCTGAGAAATCAGTGCCTGAAGCTGAATGTGAAGTGATGGTAGTGCAAGAAAATCTTGAAAGTGGAGAGACTGAGGTTGTGTCCGGAGAGGAGATAGGGGGGTGTGGGGAGCTGACTGGGAACCTGGAAATGGAGGTGATGACAGTACATTCTTCAGGGTACAATAATAACCACAAGGGCCTGGCTAGGAAGGTTTTACCGGCTATAGTGGGTTTACTGAACTGTCGTTTATGGAGTAATCTATGGAGTCGGGACATGTAAGAAGCATGTATATGTTTTAATTCTAGTCAAGGGTTTAGGGGAAAAAAAATGTTGCTTTTGCATAATGGAAACCTTTAATGTTTTCTTGCAGCAACAGGGAGGGGTTAATGTTTTGGGGGAAGTCTTTGATTTTCATATGGCATACAGACACGGTGATTTAAGTGAAGAACAATGGATGAATGTTGTGGCATCGATGGTCTAATTATTTTGCATTATTAATTAGAGGGTGTGATCACATTGATTTATATTAATTAGAGTGCTGTCTTGATTGTTTCCTGCTCAATCCATATGCAAATCTTTAGACTCTTGTTTGGTTGGTGCTTTATAATTAGTTACAGTGATGATCTTAATTGTTGTGATTTGTCAAACTTTGTTGACAAAATTAATCAAGACCCAAGTAAGCATATCTCTCTGGGGATATGGAATTTACACTCTGGAAGGGGCCAGTCCCATGTCATTTCACGGGTTTGGATTTTTTTGCTAAAAAGATTTCGAGGGATTCTATTCAAGATGAGCACCGCAAATGCAGAATTTTAGAAGAAATAATATTGTTTGAAGAACATGAAATAATTTTTTTTAATATTGTCAAGAGCGGATCTTTGCAGCAATCCATCAAAGGAGAGATTATGGTACTGGAAATTATAGAGTATTTTTAACTTTCCATAAACAAACTAAATGGAATGTTATTTCATGACATTTTTCGTACTTGTGGCACGTTTGGTAGAGGTGATTTTGCAAATGTGCTTCTATTCTTTTTCAAATGCTTCTGAAATAATTTTTTTATTATTATTAATATGAATATCCAGCTAGTTTGCCTACAATTTTATTAATTTTACAAGTTTTAAAATTAATAATTTTATAAATTTTTAATAATTATTATATTAACAACCACATGGTCGAACATGAAATTATAGAAATGTAAATATCTTGATCCAAAACTTTTATTAAATTGCTTTTAAAATATTTTTAATATGATATGATAGCATGAAGAATTACTAATTTGATATATTTTTTCAATTCAAAGAATTATTAACAAATACATCCTAACTCAACTATTGTAACCTTATCTATAGAAACAAAAGATGAAAAGGATTAGTCATTGGGGAGACTCCGTCGTGCCCTCGACTCTTTGTTAATTGCTATAAAATATGGGTATTAAACTCAGCCTAATAACTTATAAATTGACATAATTATCTAATAATTCGTTCTCTTTAGAAAGTGTGTTTTAAAAAAATAAAAAAAATATTTAAAATTAATTTTTTAATATTTCAATTCATTATAATTTATTATGAAAAAAAAATTTAAAATTTAAAATAAAATTATTTTAATAAATAAACTAGAAAACTATTCGCATGGAAAGGAAGCGGGCCACAAGGCCATTGACAACTTCTATGGGCTTCACCCTCCTGCCTTTGAGCCTTTGTATTTATGTGTTTAGGGTTTTGTATTAAAATTGTTTTTGAGTCTGCTCTCCTTGCCTTGTATTAAAATATCCTTGTTCGTAATCACTCTTTTATGTGGGTCGGTGCACTGGGTTTCCTGCAGAGGGTTCATTCAAACCATCTTCAATCGTAATGGATCTTGGGCTCTTTATATATATATATATATATATAAAGGAGATTTATTGGAAGAAGAAGAACTCTACTAACTCGCAACAATAACAATAATTAATTTAGTAGTTTTGGAAAGATTTTCTAATAGAAAATCTCTCAAGAGGATCGAACTAATTGAACTAATTAATCTAATTGAACAATAATTAATTTACTATAAGAATTAATCTTATCATTTTATAATTGAACTAATTACTTAGTAATTGTATGAGTTATGATTAATAAAATACAGGTGTTGTACAAAGTAAGTTGTTATCTCAAGAAAGAAATTAAGTAATACTATTTACTTTGTGATCAGTTAATTATTACATGTTTATAAACCACTAAGTTGTACTATAAATAACATCTTTATCAATTCTCGATTTGATTATAACCTTCTTTGAAAAATCAATTCTAATTAATTTGCAAAAATACAAGTACTTGTACTTAATATATTGCAAATCTTGCGTTGTTTTCTTTTATAAACCTGAAAGAATTATATGTACAGATTAAACCCATCCGATTATAAATCAAAAGACTAAAACCAAATCAATTAATTTTTTTTTAAAAAAACATTATATCAAATAATCCTTGAATGTTCATGCACCCTCTTGGTGCATGAATAATAAATTCACTGGGCTTGCAGGATGTTCAGTGGGCCGTGTGGATTAGTCGTGGTGCGCGTAAGCTGGTCCGGACACCCCACGTAAATTAAAAAAAAAAGAAAAAAGTCTCCCTTTATTAGTCTTGAGGTGGTCACGGGAAATCTAACATTGTTAAACGTGTAAGGGCACAGTCCAAAACGCTCTCTTGATGATAGCCCTTGCCCAGTTTCAGTCACGTTTTCTGGAAGGGCTTTGAAGAAGAAGCAGGAAGTGAAATTACACCGGCGTGAAGTTCATGAGCTAAAATAATGCAATATCAAGATTTTCTTTTTTGAACAACAAATTCCTCTTGTTGTTTTATGCAGCCTTTACTCTTGTTTGTACAATGAGAAATGTAGGTTTACGTTAAAGATTCAATTCAATATAATAGTTTAATCTATTAAATAAAATACTAAAATATAAGCTATATTATTCTTTAAGTTTGTTGATCTTTAAATATCAAATAAATATAAATGATGAGATTTAAATTTGTAATTATTTAGTTATTAAAATTTTGATATCATATTAAAGAACTAATTCAATCCAATTACTTAAACTGTTAAACGAGATTTTAAAATATAATTTATATTATTCTATAAAAATTTAACATGAATAAAATTCACATGGATTATGCTACATGGAGTTTAAGTCTAGATAATTTTTGAATTTATTTATATTTATGTTATTTAATTCTATATAAAAAATGCTAATTAGATTCATAAACAACCTAAAAATATTGTTCAAGTGTATTATTAAAAATGATTCATTACTTAAATTCATCACCTTCGTTTCAACTTGTGATTTTATCTATCAAAAGAATGATTAAATCTTATGTAGTAGAAGTCTAGGGTTTTACAAGGACATGTCAATTCAAGACCCATATGAAAGTTTAGCAATTGCGCCATCGAAAATGCCTTCTTAATTAGTATTCAAATTATCATTAATTTGGAAAAAAAATACACTATGAGAAAACCTCATTCCCAATGAAGATAGCATAAGCAACCCCCCTAAAACTCAATATTTTCCTCGTTTTGTTCAAACCTCAAACTCCACGCTCCTCCTCCTCCTTTCCATCCCTTGTAAGAACAAACTCTTACACTCAAAACGCCAACAACACACACTCAAGACATCAAGAATCCCCTCAAAACAAACTATCTAGTTGGTGGCTAAGTGATAAAAACTTGGGATCAAGAAATTTGCTTCCTCTGTGGTCTCAGGTTCGAGTCCTTGATTGCTCATATGATGGCCATTGGAAGCTTATATGATCGTTAACTTCAGGGCCCGTGGGATTAGTCGTGGTGCGCGCAAGCTGACCCGGACACCTACGTTAATCTAAAAAAAAAAATCCCCTCAAAACACACTAATGACTCAACCATCATCCCATGTAACAGCACCTCTGAAAGATGAGCTTGATATTGTTATCCCAACTATAAGAAACTTAGATTTCTTGGAGCAGTGGAGACCTTTCTTTCAGCCTTACCATCTTATTATTGTCCAGGATGGGGATCCTAGTAAGAACATCCTGGTCCCTGATGGCTTTGATTGTGAGCTTTATAATAGGAATGATGTGAATCGGGTTCTAGGTCCTAAATCTAGTTGTATCTCCTTCAAGGATTCTGCTTGTCGTTGCTTTGGTTTCTTGGTTTCCAAGAAGAAGTATATCTTCACCATCGATGATGATTGCTTTGTACGGGTTTTTTACCTTTTTTTTTTCTTTTTTTTCATTTTAGAGTCTAAGGAGTTAGATTTTTTACGACAAGTCAACTTGGAGTGGAACCGAGGGGCCTCCACATTGAAATTGATAGACTATTTGCTTTTGTTTTTGTTTTTACTTTTTAAACTGTGTTGGTGTATGTTTTAAAAGTTATTGATTTTATTTTTTTAGTTTTTATTAATATTAAAAATAAAAAATATTATTTTAATATATTTAATTAAAAAAGTACTTTTCAGAATTTGCTTTGGTTTTGTTCTTTTTATTTATTTCTATTTTTTAAAGAAAATCTTGCTGCTTTGATTGAAGGTCGCTAAGGATCCAAGTGGGAAGGAGATAAATGCATTGGCTCAGCATGTACAGAATTTGCTGACACCATCTGCTCCATTTTTCTTCAACACTCTTTATGATCCGTTTAGAGAAGGTGTTGATTTTGTGAGAGGATGCCCTTTTAGCCTGAGAGGAGGTGTGCCTACTGCTATCTCGCATGGACTATGGCTAAATATTCCTGATTATGATGCCCCAACTCAGCTTGTCAAGCCTCTCGAACGTAACACCAGGTTAACTCTGCATCAATAGCAATAGCATATTGGACACTGCTTCTTGGTCTAGGCTGTGATTTGCCTTGCTTGAAAATTGAATTCAATCTTGTTTGCATTGTTTCGTTGCTGTTCAAAATCTCAATAGAAGTGTACTTTTGGCTCAATGTTTGTCTAATTGTATTCTAAATTTAGCTCACACAGGTATGTGGATGCTGTTTTGACAATCCCAAAAGGCACCCTGTTCCCAATGTGTGGAATGAACCTTGCTTTTGACAGGGAATTGATTGGCCCTGCAATGTACTTTGGTCTCATGGGTAACGGCCAACCCATTGGGAGATATGATGATATGTGGGCTGGCTGGTGTGCCAAGGTAATGCCTCGATCACTTTTCATCTGTTTGCTACCAATTTGCCCATAGGATTTAACGATGAAAAATACTCCTGGCTGACAGCGTTCTGTTAATGATTTATCGAATGCATGAGACATGAGTAGACTATTTTGATTGCCATGAAAATGCAATTGGTGCTTCGTTTAGTTTCTGTAGATCTTGATGTTTAAATCTACGTTAATGGATTAAGGGCTAAAAGTAATCGTATAAAGTTGCGAACTTCTTCTGTGAGCTTGTAATGGATTGCTTCTGCCTGGATTGGAATCAGAATTCGACTGCCATTTCTTGTGCTAATTCTCATTTGATGGATAAAATAGAAGAGACGGAGATGCACGATGGAATACAGTGGGTATTTTTTTTATCTTCTTGATGCTCCAAATGATAGGCATGCACAGACCCCTTTCAATGTGTGTGGATTTCAGGTAATCTGTGATCATCTTCGTCTCGGGGTGAAGACAGGACTGCCATACATCTGGCATAGCAAGGCGAGCAATCCATTCTTGAATTTGAAGAAGGAATACAAGGGCATATACTGGCAGGAAGACATCATCCCGTTCTTCCAATCTGTTGTCCTGCCAAAAGATTGCACGACCGTGCAGCAATGCTACCTTGAGCTTTCCAAATTGGTCAAGGAAAAGCTTAGCCCTGTTGATCCTTACTTCAATAAACTTGGTGATGCCATGGTTACTTGGATTGAAGCCTGGGACTTGCTCAACTCACCTGCGCAAGAAGCTGCAGCTCCGGTCGATGGCGTTAAGAAAAACTGAGCTCTCTTTAGCCTTCAAAGACCGCATTTCATTTCTTTCACTGTTCTAGTTGTATGTGATTTCCTTTACCCTGTTCCATTTTTCCCTGCTTACTTGGTGTCGCGCTTTGGATCTCTATGATCTAGAACAGGAGCATCAACCATTAATAATAAAGTTCAGGCAGGCTATATACAATCTCGTTCTAAGAACCCATAACATAAAAAGAAAAATACATATGCTTTATTTAATATGGAAAACTTGGAAATGACTTCCATTGCAGGGCTTTTAAGCTTTATAGTACCACTAAATTGATCTAAAAGCATTTTAACAAAAATTACACGAGTTTTAACAGGGCGATGGTGAGGGAACAGAAGTTTCAAGTGTCAGTACTTGTTTTCCTTGTTGTGCAGTAGATAGTATAGTATAAGTGTTTCAAGATATATCATCAGAGCCTGCAACAGGGACATATATATTCGGTTTGCAAAGACACTTGAATGGCAAGCATCACTCTATCAACATAGAACCCAAAAATCTACATCCAACCCCCTCTGGTTTACTCTGCAATTAATTGTTTTCGAGAGAAAAGAAACATGACTATTTTTTTATTTGAAATTACTGTAGCAACTTACGAGCCTCCCATCTGATTTGTTAAATTCCATTTAAAATTTAAATCAATACCCTCAAAAAGATTTCTAATATAAGAATTGATTTAATCTTTAAATTCAGTTCCAAAAATTTCAAATACTCTATTAGTGTTTGAGAGCGTATAAACGTCTGAAAGTATAGAAACTTTTGTTTTTTGGTGCATTTTATTTTAAAAAATAAATCAAATTAATACTTTCTTCATTTTTTTAAATTATTTTGATATATTAATGATATATATGAAGAAAAATCTAAAAAAATTATTTAAAAATATTTTCATATAAAAAATACTCTATAAAATCACACTAAATCATAATACCAGACAAACAGTAAATGATGTAAGCGATGATTCAAATCTAAAATCCACCTTGCCAATAGTATCATTGTCATGTCATTTTGGGCAGGAATTTTAAGATGCCATTGGTTTCTTATATGGGGTTTGATGATCCATTTATTAGCGAACCAAAATACATGCTAGCTCGCTTGAATCGTGCATGACAATTTCAATGAGGTGGTTTAAGAGTCAATGATTCCTCCATAATGTATTTTTAAAGTCGGTTATAATGGAAATTTATCTTGAATGCTAGAAACTCATGCTAAACTGGGTCGATTTGATAAATAGACTCAAGAAACTTGATGTAAAGTTTGAAATTCTGTTCTATATATTTATTCATGCTTTACAACTAATATATATAATATAGAGAAATGAAATCACGATCCAAGAATAAAGCCTAAACAATTGCTAACGAAAAAATAATTCCTAAACATAAGTTTCTAATAACTGGACAATGAGTTATATATGGAATGTGAAGATATATGTGCAGATATGGAGTTGATGTGCAGATATGACGTTGATACTCCCCCTCAAGTTCGAGCATGGAGATCTGTAATGCCCAACTAGCGTGATAATGCTTGGAAGTGGTCTTGTCCTAAAGCTTTGGTGAAAATATTAGTAAGCTGATTGGAGGTTGATATATGTCTAGTGGTGATGAGACCGGATTGTAACTTCTCACGAACAACATGGCAATCAATTTCTATATGTTTTGTACGCTCGTGAAAAATAGGATTCTGAGCAATGTGAAGAGCTGCCTGGTTGTCACAGTATAAGAGCATGAGTTTGGAATGGCAAATGTCGAGATCATGAAGAAGTGTTTTAAGCCATGTGAGTTCACAAGTAGTAGAAGCATGAGCCCGATACTCAGCTTCAGCAGAAGAACGAGAGACGGTCTGTTGCTTCTTAGTACGCCAGGAAATGGGACTAGTGCCAAGCTGAATAAAAAAACTTGTCGTGGATCTGCGAGTGAGTGGACAACTAGCCCAGTCTGAATTAGAGTAAGCTGAGACTTGAAGATTACTGGAAGCAGGAAAGAATAAACCCTGGCCTGGAGTGGATTTAATATAACGAAGAACGCGGATAGTAGCATCATAATGGGGCTGTCGTGGCTGATGCATAAATTGGCTCAGAATATTGACTAAAAACACGATGTCAGGACGGGTAATGGTGAGGTAGATGAGATGCCCAACAAGTCATCAAAAAGAGCTTGAATCAGGAAGAAGATCACCATCAGCATTGTTAAGTTTCAGATTTTGTTCCATAGGAAAAACAGTGGGGCGAGTACCAAGATGACCACTGTCAGCAAGAATGTCAAGAGCATATTTGCGTTGATTCAAGGATATACCAGTGGGAGAATGAGCAACCTCAAGTCCAAGAAAATATTTTAATTTGTCAAGATCCTTAATGTGAAAGTGATGAGCGAGCATGGTCTTGAAGTTGGTAATGGCAGAAAGATCATTACCTGCTATAAGAATGTCATCAACATAAACCAATATGAAAGTGAAAGACTGACCCTGAGAGAGTTTGAAGAGTGAGTGATCATCCTGAGATTGGATGAAACCCGCAGCAAGCAGAATATAGCATAATTTAAAGAACCAATTACGAGATGCTTGTTTGAGGCCATAGATGGATTTTTGAAGACGAAAAACAAGAGTTGTTGTTGGTGTGGAATAACCTGGTGGAGGAGACATATAAACTTCCTCATCAAGATTGCCATGTAAGAAGGAATTGTTAACGTCCAACTGGAAAAAGTGCCATTGTCGAGCTGCAGCAACTGCAAGAATACATCTAACAGTAACAAGTTTAGCAACAGGAGCAAAAGTGTCATGATAATCCAAACCTTCTATCTGAGTATATCCCTTGGCCACTAAGCGAGCTTTATGTCGTTCTATGGATCCATCAGCTTGAAATTTGGTTTTGAACGCCCATTTACAGCCAATGGATTTTTTGCAAGGTGGAAGGGGTTAAAGAATACAAGTATGGTTTGCTTCTATGGCTTGAATTTCAGCTGCCATGGCATTGCGCCAATAAGGATGGTGCACAGCTTGAGAATATGATATGGGATCAGGATGTTGAGATAATGCAGAAAGAAAAGCTAGATGGTGGTTAGAAAAACGATGATAAGATAAAAAGGAAGAGAGACAATGAGTAGTATTTGAGGAAGATCGTGGAACAAGAGAAGCCGTGAGGGACTTTGAAAGGGAAGAGCAGATGTAATCATTGAGGTAAGGTGGATGTGTAGCAGCTCGTTTTGGTCGTGAGATAAGATCTTGAGGTGGTAAGGAAGGAGATGGTGATGTGAGTGGTGATGGAGGAATTATGGAAGGGGAAGGTGATGATGTTGGTAAACTAGATGAGGAAGGAATATCAGGAATTGGAAATGGAAGGATTGGAGCAGTTACAGGAGGTGAAGGTATGGGGTGATAAGGAAAATTATGTTCTTCAAAAGTAACATCATGGGAGATGAAGAGCTTGTGATTTTCTAGATCATAGACACGGTAAGCTTTATGGTTGGCAAGATAACCTAAGAAAACACAACGTGAAGCTCGAGGAGAGAATTTATCTTGATGTTGACGAGGGGTTTGGGCATAACATAAACAACCAAACACTTGTAAGTGTGTATATGATGGTAGTTTTTGGAAAAGGAGCCCATAAGGGGACTTATGTTTCAGGCTAGGGGAAGGGGTTCGATTAATTAAATAAGTGGCTGTGAGAATACATTCTTCCCGGAATGAGATGGGAAGATTAGCTTAAAAACGTAAACACCGGGCCACATTAAGTAGATGGCGATGTTTTCGTTCGGCAACACCATTTTATTGAAGTGTATCCACACACGTGCGTTCGTGAAGAATGCCATGATCATGAAAAAAAGTTTGGAGTTTATTAGACAGGAATTCTTGACCATTATCGGTCCGCATATGGCGAATAATGCAATTAAATTGAGTTTTAACCATGGCAAAAAGATTTGTAAGGCAAGTAAAGGTATCAGATTTCATGTGCATGAGATAGACCCATGTTGTGCGTGAGAAATCATCCACGATAGTTAAAAAATAATGGGCTCCTAAATGTGATGCAGTAGGATAACCACCCCATATATCACAATAAATTCGATTGAAACAAAATGTGCTTTTATTTGTATTCAAAGAAAAAGGTAAACGAGTGTGTTTTGCTCTAGCACATATATCACAAGCCAAATGTTGATTAGAAACACGTAAAGTTTATGGAATGCATGAAGTAGACGGATTACCAAGTCGTTGATGCCAAATTATAGAATCAGGGATGCTTTGAGAATGAAGGGCAGAGGCAGAAAAAGGCTTGTAGTGATAAAGTTCATTGCGTACTTCACCCGTTCCAATCAGCTTCCTCGTTGATAGGTCCTGGAAAACATAAAAAGTAGAAAAAAATATGCAACACAATTAAGAGTTTTGGTGAGTTTGCTAATAGACAGTAAATTAAATTTAAAAGAAGGTACATATAAAACATTAGAAAGGGAGATATCAGGTGAAATATGTAATGTGCAGTATGAGTTATAGAAACAACATCACCATTTGGAAGTTTAATGGGACATGGTTGATGCATGGATTGAACATTATTAAGGGATGATAAATTCAAAGTTATATGATCTGAGGCACCTGAATCAATAATCCATTCATGATTAGAAAAAGAAGCAGAATTACAAGAAGCAAGGTTACTAGCAAAGTTGGCAGAATTGGTGTTCAAAACCAAATTATTCACTGGTGATAGAAGATCCAAAAAGCGAGAGCATTGGTCACTAGTGAGATTGGGAATATTAATCTCAGAAGATGTTGAAGAATTGATGGCATTATTCACCGCCATTGATGAGCCAGCATGTCCATTAGTTGCTTCACAGTATTGAGGTTTGTTCTTGGGGTAACCATGCAACTTGTAACAATTGGATTTCCAGTGACCATCACGATCATAGTAGTCGCATTTTGGACGACCACATCCTCTTCCTTTATTATCAGAACGATGTGCAAAAAGGTAAGAAGCTACCATAACAGCATATTTTGTTGGAATACTGGAGATATACAAGAGACGTTGCTTTTTTTCTTGATGCAAAATTGAATATACTTTGGTGACAGGAGGTAAAGAATCCATAGCCAAAATCTGGCTACGAATTAGAGCATAAGAATCATGTAATCCCATCAAGAAATGAAAAACCCGCTCAATATCTTATATATGAGTCAATTC